AAGGCTTAACACAAAACTGTCAGGAGCTTCTTGTCTAAGCATAGAGGCATGGCTAGTGTTCTTATCAGTTTTTATGGAACTCTCAGTTAACCTTTTAATCCAGGACTCTTGTCTTGAGAATATGTCATAGTGATGGAAATAAAAGTAACAGAAATGCAGACAGAATTATCCCCATAAGATAAAGGTGTCAAGATTGGCTTTAAGAAGGTGCTAGAGAAACTCAAAAGATAAATAGATCATACATAGGGAAAGAAAGGGGAAAAAATCAGTACTTATATAGAAATGGAATGCTAAAGACATGAAGTCAAAGCTAAGCCAAATCTGTTCACACAATAAGTAGTCAAATTTCCTGCAATAAAGTGGTTGGTAAGAGAAGCAATAATGAACAACATGGAAACTTGAGGTTTGTGGAGAGCTTTAATATGACAAGTATAAGTTTTGGCATCATCATTTGGTTATTGAAACTGTCAAGAGGGGTTGTGTCACCACCCTTTATGGCCAGGTGGGTTCATGGTATTTGTGCAGACAGAATAATATTCATGGAGCCGTTGGGATGTCTGGCATGCTTTTATTCACAGGTGAGCAAGCCATGCATGATGCAAGCTACGTGTCTATCTACATGTCTCATGTCATGACTCTTGCTCTCCAGTGTGGCACCCAGCATGGCACCCATTGTGGCACCTGTCCCTTTCCATGTCTCTCATCATCATTGCCCCCAGCAAGGAGTCTCTACCTGTTTTAAGTACTAGAGGGTAACAAAGCTGGCAAGATGCCAGAACATTACATAATATGACATAATTCTGCCCACATGAGCCCATTTCATGTTATGGGAACAGTTTATCAGACCCAGTCTCAAAGCCATGAGAACACTAGTTATCAGGTGCCTCCAAAGCTATTGTAACACTGCCTCCCTTAGCTACACAGACACCTGGGTGAGGAAACCAGACTGCCTCCACTTACCCTACAGGGGTGGTGACATATACGTAAACAAGATATTTTAAAGCATGAAGGCTTTTTTAAAAATCTTAAGCATCGGGATTTAGATAAAAATGTCTTCAATATTTGCCTACATTTAACCTATAATCATATGACAAGAAACATTAAAATAAAGTGGCCAATATATAAACTACCAACCAGTATCCTTAACTATTAATTAGGAAATATTTAGAAGTGAATAATTTTCTGATTGATTTACCTTTTAAAAGGGTATATAGTTAATTTAGGAAAAAAGAAAATGCACTGGATGCAATTCTACCTTATTTTATAATGAGAAAAGTAAGCCCTAGAATATTTATTAAGTGGCTTGCTCAGGATGCCACAACCAAGCAGAGACTTCAAAATTATATTCTCCCTTAATATATGAGAGCTACAAAATATACCTGGTTCTTAGGACACAAGGAGGCAAGAAGACCCTCATCTGTGACCTGACTCCTCCTTCCCTGGGTGGTGTCGTTGCCACTAAGTGACCGTGAATGTCATGATGTTTAGATCTTCTTGCTGAAAGACTTACTGGAAATAAATTATTCAATTAATATGTAGCCAACTGCATTATGAACTGTAATACTCCAATAATTACAAATAGATATATAAAAACTTCTACAAAAAAAACACTGTAAAAAAACAGAAAATAAGCAAATATAGAGAGTGTGGAGGATGTTAAGATGGTGGAGAAGTAATTGAAAGTTACTCATCTCCTTCCAGGACCAAACTGGAATCAAACTAAATTATAGAAAAATCATCCTGAATAACCACCTAAAGAGTAGCTGGAGAGAAGCCTTATAACCAAGAACAGAAGGAAGAAACTACTTCACCACTACGAGGTGGTAGGGAGTGCAGAAGAGGTATGAGAGGACTGGCTGGGCTCCTACAGGTGGCAGATAAAGTGTCAGAGGGATATTTTAGTGGCTTTGGGCAGGGTGCCCCTCAGAAATGTGGGGTCTAAACCCCAAGCTCAGTTCTCCAGCCTACAGCACCAGGACTGGGAAAGGAACACTAATAATATCCAACTGTGAAAAGAAGAGGGGTTTTAGCCTTCCAGGAAGAAAGAGAGAGAGAGAGAGCCCCCTGAAGGACCAATGCACAAAATCTCATTTGCAGCCACTTAACCCTAGCCTCCACCATAGGGAGGGTAGCGTGGACTAGAGATACATGAGGAAAGTCTGGTTTTGGTAGCTCTGGGGAGAGAATGGAAGAAAAAGCTCCTAGGATCTCTGTGCTGAGTCATTCCCCATAATGCAGAAGTCATCTTTTTCAGACAGAGAACTCCCTTCTAAGTGGCATCTGTCTGAGGGGAAGCAATATCCCTGCCCACAAATATTCCTCTGGTCCCACCTTGTGGACCTTCAGCCAAGCTGCTGAGTAGACCTGGAGACTAGATTAGTGATGAAGTCTAAGAGCAAAGGTGGATCCTTGGGAGCTCTGAGACATTACCTGACCCTGCCCTAGGCCTGGTGCTAGTAAAAGGTGGTATTGGTGCACAGCTTGGTTCTTTCTGCATACATGCAGGCCCAGCACAGGGAGCCACAAGTTTTGAATGGCTGATAGCTCCAAACAGGTTGCCCAGGGCCAGTCACAGGCAGCATCTGTCATAGGATTACACTAGAGTCTTTGCAGATATACCTAACACACAGAAGCAAGTACAAAGAACCAGCCAAAATGGGAAGACAAAGAAGCAGCCACAAATGAAAGAATAAGAGACTTCCCCAAAAGAAGAACCAAATGAAATGGAGGCAAGCAATGCATCAGATATGTAATTGAGTAATGACTGTAAGTATACTGAAAAAATACAGAAACAATTTAAAAAGCAATCATAAATAAAGAATGCAACATCTAAAGCAGAGGATGGAATCAGTGATTTGGAAGAAAAAGTGGGAAAAAAAACATCCAAGCAGAGCAACAAAAAGAAAAAATAATTCTAAAAAAAGGAGGAGAGCTTAAGAAAACTCTGGGAGAAAATGAAGTGTAACAACATCCACATCATGGGAATATCAGATGAAGAGAATAAGCAAGGGGTCAAGAACCTATTTGAAGAAATGATGACTGAAAACTTCCCTAATCTGGTGAAGAAATAAGACACACAAGTCCAAGAAGCTCAGAGAGTACCAAACAAGACAGACCCAAAGAGGCCTACACCAAGACACGTCATAAATAAATTGACAAAGCTTGAAAACAAGGAGAGAATCCTAAAAGTAGAAAGAGAAAACTAGGTAGTTACCTACAAAGAAGCTCCAATTAGACTGTCATTTCATTTCTCAACAAAAACATTTCAGGCCAGAAGGGATTGGCATGAAATATTCAAGGTGATAAAAAGCAGGGACCTACAACCAAGGCTACTTTACCCAGCAAGGCTATCATTTACAATTGAAGGAGAAATAGACCTCCCCAGACAAGAAAAGCTAAAGGAGTTTGTTAACATCAAACCAGTGCTGCCACAAATGTTAAAAAAAGTTGCATTAAGACAGGGGTGTCAAACTCATTTTCACTGGGGGCCACATTAGCCTCACGGTTGCCTTCAAAGGGCCAGCTGTAATTTGAATTCCTTAACAGTTAAGTAGTAGTTACATTTATACAACCTTAAACTTATTTTGGCCATTTGAAGTCAACCATGAGGCTGATATGGCCCCCTGTGAAAATGAGTTTGACATCCCTGCTTTAAGAAAACGAAGAAGAAGGAGAAGAAGAAGAAGGAAACATAGGAAAATAGTTAAAAATTAAAATGGCAATAAATGCATATCTATCAATAATCACCTTAACTGTAAATGGCTTAAATGCTCCTACCAAAAGACATGGGGTAGCTGAATGGATAGAAAATAAAATCCACAGAAACCCAACTAAGATAGATGATATTTCATGCAAATGGGAAAAAGACTTGGGTAGCAATACTTTTATTCAACAAAATAGACTTTAAAATGAAGGCTATAGTAAGAGACAAAGAAGGACACTACATAATGATCAAAGGAACAATTCAGAATTTGTGGACCCAACATAGGAGCATCTAAATATGTAAAGCAAATCTTGATGGACACAAAGGTAGAGATCAACAGAAATACAGTGATAGTAAGGAATTTTAAAACCTCAGTGACTTCAATGGATAAATCTCCCAGACAGAAAATCAACAAGGAGACAGGGACCTTAAATGACACACTAGATCAAATGCATTTAATTGTTATCTTCAGGGCATTTCACCCCAAAGTAGCAGAATATACATAATTTTCAAGTCCGCATGGAATGTTTTCTAGGTTGGACCATGTGTTAGGACACAAAACAAGTCTCAACCAATTTAAGAAGATTAAAACTATATCAAGCATCTTCTCTGAACATAGTGCTATAAAACTAGAAATCATTCACAAGAACACTGAAAAACACATGAAGACATAGAAGCTAAATAACATATTGCACAATTAATGGGTCAACAATGAGATTGAGGAAGAAATCAAAAAATACCTTGAAACAAATGAAAGAACAACCCCAAACCTATGGGACACAGGGATAGCACTGCTAAAAGGGAAATTCAAAGCATTACAGACCTATAAAGAAATAAAACAAGAGAAAGCTCAAATAAACAATCTAACTTTACACTTAAAGAGACTTGAAAAAGAATAACAAAGAAAGCCCAAAGTGAGTAGAAGAAAGGAAATAATAAAGATCAGAACAGAAATAAAGGAAGTAGTTTTTAAAAATGATACAAAAGATCGATGAATCCAAGAGCTGCTTCTTTGAAGGTGCAAATCAGAATTAGACTAATATTATCCTAATGCAACCTTCAAATGCCACATTCTATACTAAGTTTCTCTCATTCTTTTTACCCTCTCCATTAATCCAGTTAGAATTTGAATTAGTCTAGATTAGATCTTAATATATTATTGATAGCTTTTTACTAGTACTAAATTGTGTATTTTAATACCAACAAGTATAATAATTTTGTCAGATTTATGCAAAAGCAATTTTTAAGTACATAGCATATTGTTATATTAAAATATTTTAAAAATATTTTTTCACAGACTTGAGTCAAAGGAGTCTTTCTTATCTGTTGGGTGAGTATATGTCTAAATATTTTAAATCTCAATTCTTTAATCAATTTTTAATTCAAATTAACAAGATTTACTGATATGGTATTTCAATCATTTAATCCCATATTCAGATCCATAACATACCATTAAATGCACCACCTTTCTGCAACTTTGTAATCTGCATTTTATAAAGACTTAAGTAACATATATCCTGACCTGTTTTGTGACCTCAGAAATTCAGCTAGTGAATGTATAAAAATTGTGTATCATCAATATGCAACCAACAGCATTGACAGTAATTATCTGTATTCTCATCATATAAACATATGCTCAGGTTGGTTCTAAAAATTCCTCTGAACTATACCTTCACTGTTTCCTAATCCATTTACTTATCTTTGCAGTTTTATTTCAGTGTTTTCTACTCAGTATTTCTTTTCCTGTTTTCTCTAAATCTACCTCCCAAATCTCTATCTGTTCTCTCTTTTCTCATTTCACTTTTATTTCTCCATTCCACTCACAATGATGGCCTGTCTGAACACAGAGCTGATGGTATCATCCCAAGTCACAATACATGATCTAATAATAATATATTGTGGACAAGAACACATGTACAATTTTCAGCCATTTAGAACTAGTTAAGAATGAGCAAAGTTTTTTTTTTTTATCAGCTCTATCCAATAATCCTTTTACTGCATTAAAATGTCCACTTACAGGACTTCTGCATGCTCAGCATTATGGTCAATGTTGCAAAGTTTCAGAAAATGTTGGACAATGATGGGATGTCTGACTTTGAAGAAGTTATGTGGTATTTTATTTAAAAAAAAAAATGACACCTAGGCAGTCACTGTACCCATGCTCAATAACCAAAAACGTGGATGGAGTTAGATTTTTAAACTATCATATTAATTTTCTTTTATGACTTTGTTTGTGGCCTTTGAATATTTCTGTCACTCATTGAGCACATGGTTCCCTGCCCCCTTCTACTCTGTAGAAAGCATCATAGGAAGCCATTTGAATCACGGGAATTGAAATAATTGTTTGGGATACTGGGGAAAAATGGAGCAGGTGATTTATTGGAGTTCATGAAAAATGGCATGTCAAGTTGATCTGGTCCAAAGAAATTGTTAGAGCATGCTTCTTTCTTTCATTGGTCATCCAATGCTATTGTTAAAAATCTTTAAGCCTGAAGAAATCTTTTTTTTTTATTGTTGTTCAAGTACATTTGTGTGTCTCCACCCCTTACCACTCTTGCCCCATCCCAGCCATCCCCACCTCCCTCCCCTCATTCCACCCCACCTTGGTTTTGTCCATGTGTCCTTTATAGTTGTTACTGAAAACCCTTTCCCCCTCCCTCCTGTTATTGCCTCCCACCTCCCCTCTGGTTACTGTCAGAGTCTTCTTTATTTCAATATCTCTGGTTATATTTTGCTTGCTTGTTTGTTTTATTGATTAGTTTCCACTTAAAGGTGAGATCATATGGCATTTCTCTTTTACTGCCTGGCTTATTTCACTTAGCATAATGTTTTCCAGTTCCACCCATGGAGGAAATCTTTTATTTGGAATGCATGCATGTCCTGCCCTCCAATCAAGGGGGTTGAAATAGCTTCTTTTTATTCTTCACCTAGTATGGTTTCTCAGAGGCATTCCTTATCCTCCAAATACTCTGAAGTCATTTTTTATTGCACACCCTCAGTAATCTTTGTTTTAAATTTATCAGGTTTTAGAACTCACTAGTAGAGCCCTGAGGAAAAAGTCTCCAAAGAAGAATGATTTATAACTTAGCAAGTACTCAAAATGGGAAAACTGACTTGACAGATGATGATATGACTTAGATATGACCTAGGTATGACTGAGGTATGATTGAGATATTGGACATAGATAGGACTCAAAAGTAAATTGGGACGAAACACCCAAAGATTTCTGTTGACTGGACTTTTTATGTCATAGAGAAATTTCTCCATTCCCCTCCAAGCAAATGATTTTAAATAAAATTGTCCAAAAGTATTTATGAATCTTTCTCATGACCCTTTTCAGTAGGAGAACAGAGTAATCATGACCATAAAAGACACACAGGATCCTACCAGGAAATAGGTAATCTACAGCCAGAACCATTATTCAAAGTTGTGACTTTTACTTAGTTGTTTGCCAAAGGGAATAAATGCATGGTGTATATAGTCTATGATATTAGCGGGCATATGAATATATAATACTGGGTTCTTCCAGGACTTTTCATACCTCCTGTAGATTATTTTAATCCTATGTTGAATAAAAAAGATATATTAATGAAAAACTCAGTGCTAAATATTTCATACTTCAGTCCATTGCCTGCTAGTGTCTTAAAAACTGGTTAACATGTACTTTTAGGAATTTCTTTCACCCTCATAGGCTCTGACCCTTACAAACTAGCTGTATGAATTTAGGCAGTTACTTAAACTCCCAAGCTTCTGGTCCTTACTTTTGAAATGGGGATTAATAACAAAATTCAGATCAAGTATTTAGCACTGTTCTTGACACACAGGAATTATTCATAAATGTTACCTATTATTACTGTTCTAGAGGTGTATTCTTGTGTTATATTCTAAAAAGTCAATCTGAGAATAAAATTCCATACTTCTGCAGGCCATGCTTTGAGTTACTTGTGGAAACCAAACGAAGTTTTTACAAAGCAGAGAAAAAAATACTTGTTCATGAAACCAGCTATCAAGATAAACAAAGATGTTGTTTCATATTTCAATAATTAATGCTAATAATTGTTATTTAAATTCTTTGAATGAAAAGAAATATTGATAAATTTTGATGTGCATCTCTTCCTAATGCAAATATGGGAGCAAAATTTCTCTGTGTGTAAATGTGCTATAGGAATTATGAAATACCATTTTAAATGTCACAACATAAACTCAATCTGAATATACCAATCAACAAATTTGTCAAAGACAGTTAAAACGCAAGGAAATATTGGCTTATGGAAAAGGTTAGGGAAATGTGAAAGGAAATCTCAGATTTCCGACCTTCAACTCTATGTTGATAAAAGGACTTTTATATGCACAAGTCAGTGATTAATAAAATAATGTCATTGGAGAAATAAAATATAAACTTTAGTCCAGCATGAGTTATAAAGGATCATCCTACAGTCTGATTCTGTTTCTCAGGGTGTGTCAATACATGCAGTGTCTTTCTGGAATAGCTAGCAATTGTGGTACCAGTCAGGCCTGAAAACCGCTGTCTACATCATTTTGTATCCTCCCCATCATTCCCTTACAGCCATGCATAGGTTTATATTTTAAATTATTATAAATATATTTTTAATATGTATTACATATATTATTTATTACAAATGTACAATATAAATACTTTTATATAAATAAAATAAATTTAATGAAAAGATTTAAAAATGGAAGCTTTTTCCCATCTCACCTAACAGTAAAAAGTACCAGCTGAACAGCCTTGAATTTCAGCATAGAGTGTAGGCTTGTATGCTAGATGAGTATTAAGTGGCTGATATTCTGCTCATCCTCCAACCATTACATGTTAAAGCAATTATAATAACTCTTCTGGCAAGCACTTTCCCTTATGTGGCATCAGATAGATTCAGATTTTGGAAGTAAGCTGGGTGAAAACAGGCATCAAGTTTGCATTTATAGAAGTGAACAAGAATGGAGTAATTGTTCCAGTTAAGACTCTAAATCTTAGTTTGAAACCAGTTTTGCATTGAAAAAGCTTTTCACAGTCTCTTAATGAACAATACGGGGAAGGGACAAGGAAGTTCCTATTCTTTTGTTATCCAAGATTCACAGTGTAAAAGTACGTGTTGGGACAGTACCTGAGTCTTCTTCCAGTACAAGTGGCTGTCGACATTGTAAACCCTGAGCCACTTAAAAAATATACTCAAGGCATTAAAAGAAAATCTACATGTAAATTCTTTCTTCTTACCTCTTTAGCTGAAGTTGACCTTTCTAAGAGAAGACTTTGATATGAGTTGGTTGTATTTTAGAACTGAAACTTTGATTCACATGAGTTTTTAGTGGATGAATTTTTGTATAAGTGGCTTTATTATGAGAATGATTATTTATTGCATGGGCAAAAACCTTTTTCAGGCTTTTTATCTGTATTAGAATAATTTAAATAATTCAGACTAATTTAAAAATTCTATTGATATAGCTCAGAATATATTTGTTTTCAAGCTTGGCTGACAGGCATTCAAAAATACATTCAGAATGCAAATACCAATAATTATATTGACTCTTTTGAGGCACTGGCTCTGTGAGTGAGCTGATCCTGGCCCAGCAAAGCCTGATCTCCTGATCTCTGAGACCTATCCACTCAGTCAAAACCAGAGGGCATGACTGCTATTTTTATATAATGGAATATTATTCAACCTTTAAAAGGAAAGAAATCCTGCCATTTGTCATAAAATGGGTGAACCTGGAGGACGTTATAGTAAATGAAATAAGTCAGATGCCAGACACAGAAAGACAAATACTGCATGATCTCACTCACATGTGGAAGCTAAGATAGCTGAACTCAGAACCAGAGAGTAAAACAGTAGTTGCCAGGGAGGTGGGGGAATTGGGAAGATGAAGTTCAGTTATACACTGAAACTTTGAGTTCTGGTAACTATCCTACTGCATGGTGACTATCATTAATAGCACCATATTTTATACTTGAAACTTGTTTTTTTTAAGTAAATCTTAAGTGTTCTCACCCCCCAAAAATGAACTATGTGAGGTGATGGATAGGTTAATTAGCTTGATTGTGGAAATCATTTCACAATATGTATGTATAGAAAAGCATCACATTGTATATCTTAAATATATACAGTTTTCACTTGTCAAAAAATAAAATCTGTAAAAAATAAATAAGATGCCTGATAAAATATTTTCTTTAAAAATATCAGAATTAGTGAGTGATGGGGTGATGTCTTAGAGGTTTTTCAATTGAACTTTGTGGGATCATGGTGACCATAGGACATGCTGAAATCCAGATGTAGTTTCAAAACTAAGGGAAGGGTAACAAGAAACTGTCCC